AGAGCGTTTCAACCAGACGCTCTCGAAAATTCTATATAAGATTCAATATGCTGTTGAGTCTATATCATCCGATCCTGGATTAATGAGAGCATGGGTTAGGTATTTACCGGAAGCTATTGATTATCTGAATAATTATCCCACACGCCTTATTCGAGAGCCGGGGTCAAAAAAGTGGGGACTTGAACCAGTGAAAGCCATTGCTTTAGAGCGAGTCGAATCTAGACCATCTACGAAATATAAGCGCCCAGTTGGAAAAGATGAAATAACATTAAAGAAGGGAGATACCGTCCGCTATCTTCTTGCTAATGCAGAATGGGAGGGTGGAATGGAGAATCAGAGGAGGGCTACAGATCCCACTTTTTCGCCTTCTATTTATAAAATCCGAAAAGTGATTGTTGTAAAGAATGAACCAGTTTTATATTATCTTGATGGAGAATTTGCGCCATCTCGTGGATTTGTACGAGAAGAGCTCATGTTAATAGCTGATCCAGAAAGGGTTGGTCGTCCACCTCAAAGTATATTGTCTGTACATATTGCATATGCTTCCTCTACAAATAGCGAGCTAGATCAAGCGAAAAATTATGCCAAAAAGCGTGGTGGCCAATGTCTAGGAAGAACTGGCCGGATTCATGGACATGATATCTATCTCTGGTCTTGTGAAAATGGTGCGCATCAGTGGGAGTATCCATTAAAATATATTATGAAAAAATTCGAATGGTGTCCGCTATGTAACCATAGAAGTGATGAGCGCCGATGCAGATATATTTTTGAGGATCTACTAGGTAAGAAATTCCCATCACGCAGGCCAAATTTTTTAGATGGACTACACTTGGATAGATATAATGAGGAATTACGTCTTGCCTTCGAATACCAGGGTCCTCAACACTATCACCACAATAGCTTCTACCACTGGGAGAATGAAAATCTAAAATCACAAAATATGCGTGATCAGAAGAAGCGGGATATATGCAAGGATCAAGGTATATGTCTTATCGAAGTTCCATATACATGCGACCTCCTATCCTACATCAGACATACTCTAATCGAGAAAGGGTTCTTGAGTAATTCTCCAAGTTAGGACGGAGAGAATTATTTTCTTGGTAATTTTCTGAGACCGCCAGTTCCGCAAATTTCTATAATATATTTTTAAGTATGATATTAAGCAATATGAAAGATCATAAGAAACATCAAGTCAAAAAGCTTGATACAGCAGAAAAAATCATTCTCAATATTGATGAGATTAAAGATGCAAAGAGGTTTAACGGCTTGAATTCCACTCCTCAATGGCCTTTCACATTACTAATCTCAGGTCGTACTAATTCAGGAAAAACTAATGAAGTCGTGAACCTATTATTAGGGAATAAGCTTTATCGCATGTTTAATGGTAAAAAGGGAGGAACACGCTATATAAAAAATGACGATTTGCTTCTTATTGGTCACTACCTCAAAGAGCCAAAATATTTATATCTCAAATCAGCGTATCAGATAATTGCAAATAGTCCAAAACCATATCGTGAAGATATTACATTCCGGGCTCTAAAGCCTGATAAAATTCCAAATCCTGATTCCTTTCCTCCGAGTAGGGATCGCAAGGGTGCTCTCTACTCTCAGGATAGAGGTTTAGTGGTCATATTCGAAGATGTGTGTGCCGATTCGAAGAAAGTTCAGGAGAAGATTAAACCTTATTTCTCTAGAGGACGACACAGTAATATTAGTAGTATTTACGTAACACAGAGTTTTTTTGACTGCCCGAAGTTAATAAGAAAAAACGCAAATTACGTTGTACTCTTTAATGGATCCACTTCAGAAGAATTGAGCAGAATTCTCCGCCTATATGCTTATGACTGGCGTAGCATATATAAAGATGTCGTTAACTATTTGACTGATCGTAATTTTATCGTCTTCGATTTGACAGTACCTCCTAATCATCCTCATAGGATTCGGAAAGGATGGGATACGCCATTTTTTAGTGATTAGAATTCGACTTCATAGATGCCAGCTCCCTTTCCGCCTCTAGCACTTGCATCTTCAGATCTTCGATCTCATAGCGCATTTTCTTATTAGCATTAACCCGTTCCCTATATTCCTTTTCTATGTCTTGCATGAACTTCCCAAAAGTTCGTCTATTATAATCGAGCAGGTGCTGGGATAGTACTTTAAGCTCGTTTATGACCCGGCAATTATTCTCTTCTTCATGATCAGAGGTGCTATTGTCCGTTTGGACTCCACTATCTACAACAAGTATAGTCGGTAATGTTGGGGATATATTACATTCTGGCCAGCTTCGAGGCCGTAATATTTTCTCCTGAGTCATAGTTTTACGTTTCTTCCTATTTAACGAATTCTCATAAACTTCTAATTTATGCCTTAGATATGACTCAATTCGACTAGACTTCCCAGAAATCATTTCTAATGGAACAGGGTTTTTAGAGTGATTTAAAAGACCTTGATATGCTCTCTTGATAAGACTTTCGGGTAGTCTATCAATAATATGCTTATAGTCGGAATGGAACATTTTATTAGATATAGTTTTGCGCAAAAAAAAGTTTGCATGCAAAATAGTCCATAGCATATAGCACTATAGATTTACGCGCCTATA